TTTCTACCCTAGCTATTCTGCCACGTTTCATTTGCAAAATGAGTCTAATTCAAAAGGTAATTCATGGGCTTCAGATCCAAGCCATGTCCTCTCATTCAGCTTTACCAGTATTCATCTGTACAGTAATCCCTGAGTGACACTGATATCTATTTTTCAAATGGTCATGGTGAGATTAGGCTCTACACAAACCCCAATGATATGTTGCAAAAGTCCTCTCTCACCCCAGGGGTCTGTATTTTAACTTACTTTTGTAGTTAATGTTTAAACTTGTATGTTAAGTGCATTGATCATCTCCTTTATGAGATTGTGAATTAATGTCAGATTAGAAAGGCTTTACCTATTCCAAGATCATAAAACATCCTCCACATTTTCTTCTTGTGTTATTTTGAGGTAACATTAAATTTAAATTTTTTGATTCATATAATTTTTTTTCTCGGCTGTCTTTAAGGCTTCATCCGTCCTGTTTGAAGCTTACTTTCTTTGGTAAATAAGACGTAATTATATTGGCTGGTATAAAGCACTCCTCTTGGGGGATTAGATAATGTTAGAAAGATTGGTTATAGTTGGGAAGGAGTTGTCTGGATAATGGATAGATTAGCTTTTATTTTTTAGGCAGTAGAGAGGGAAGGCTCTAGAGCCAGTAAATAACATGATGGAATAACCTATATTAGAATGTTATGTATGTGTGTATGTAGTTAAATGGAGAATTATTGACAAGTTTTTTTTTCCCCCTTCTTCTCTCACTTTGTGAAAGTCTGAGATTTTGGATCAGAAAATGTAAAACATAATTTCCAAGGTTTAATGTGGGTAAGTGTAGTCAGATGCAGATTTTTAAAAAAGTCACATATCAATTCCTGATTTTGAGGAGATTCCTAGAAAAAGAAGAATAAAATATTTCATTAGTCAATATTTCATTATTGATATGTAAATAGGTGAAAAATAGTGCACGTATATTTATGTATTTTCCAAACAAGATATTATCACACAACTTAATTGCGTAGTAAAGG